CTTTTTTTTTTTTTTTTTTTTTTTGTCTTTCTCATTTTTATCGGTACCAGGGATCGAACTCACAACTGCCTGCTTGCAAGGCAGGCACTTACGCCGCTGAGCTAAATCCCTGGCCCCCTTGCCATCTTTTTAAAGATCATTCCTCCCCTTTCACATTCCCAGGGTGCACCGCGTATTTTTGGGTCTCATCTAGACCCTCGGTTTTAAATTGGCGGGGGGGGGGGCAATCTGCTATTTACCTAAGTGACTTCGAACCTTCTCCCTCCTGGACTTGATCTGTAATTATATTCCTTTACCTATTAAAGCTTGTCTTTCCAACCTATCCACAAATACTGGTCTAGTTGCCCCTGTTACTCTCTGGCTCCTTGTCCCATAGAGCACTGTTTTCCCATATTCGATTTTCAGTCCATATACCCTTTTCCGGTTAATTATATTTCCTATAAAGAGCATCTCAGTGAACCCTATCTCTTGATCTACTCTACCTGTGATTCTCCTTTTTTTAAAATTTAGTGTATCAAGACCATCTATATTAGAGATTATATCAACCTTATCTGTCTCATTTCTGTTATGCTCTTTGTTGGCCATTAGTTGTCTGCTTGTCTTCTTCATTCTACTTTCTGTTCCTGGAATCCTGGTACTTTTCTCTCTCTCTAGAATGCCCTACAGTATTCTCTGCCGAGTTGGATTGGTGGTAGCAAGTTTCCCCAGTTCGTCTTTGTCTTGGAAGGATCTTGTTTCTCCATTAATTTCTAGAGATAGTTTTGTAGGGTATATCAATCTGGGCTGGAGGTTATTTTCTTTCAGGACTTGGAATATTTCTCTCCAAGCTCTTCTTGACTTGATGGTTTGTGTTGAGAAGTCTGCCATAATTCTGATGGGCCTTCCTTTATAGGTGATCTGTTTCTTATCTCTAATAGCTTTTAATATTCTGTTCTTACATAGAATTTCTGGGATCTTGATTATTATATGCCTGGGTGTGGCTCTGTTTTGGTTTAGGTGGTTAGAGTTTTGTATGCCTCATATATCTGAATATCATTTCCTTTTCCTATATTTGGGAAGTTTTCCTTAATTATTTCTGTGAATAGCCTTTGTAGTTCCTTTGTTTGTACCCCTGCTTCTTCTTCATTCACATTCTTTATTCTCAAGTTATAGATCCTCTTGTCATCTTCTAGCCTTTGTATTGATATTTCTTGTTTCCTTGTTATTTTAAAAAAGTTTTTCCTTTCATAATCCTACATTGCAAACCTGTCCTCCAGTTTGAATAATCTTTTTTTTTTTTTTGTCTTTTTTTGAGACAGGGTCTTGCTATGCAATTCAGTTGGCCTTAAGCTCACTTTGTAGCCTAGGCTGGTCTCGAACTTGCAATGATCCTCCTGCCTCAGCCTCCCAAGTGCTGGAATTACAGGCGTGAGCCACCATGCCTGGCTCCAGTTTGGATAATCTATCCTTAGTTTCTTTCAAGCAGTTTTGCCAGCTTTCAATGGAGTTTTTAATTTCCTGGTAATCTGAATCTGCTTCATGTATTCTATATTTTCTTTATATTCTTCATCAAATGGTTCTCTCCTTTGTGTTCTTCCATTCTTCTATCTGTGTCTTCTTGAGAGGTGATTAGCATTTCTTTTATTAATCTGTTTATATCTTACTTTACTTGGTTAAATATTTCACTTTTGAACTTGTCTATGAGGTCCTGAAAATATTTCTTTATGTCCATTAATGCTGTGTCTGATATTGCATGTTTGCTGTCCTCAATCTCTTTTGTATTTACCTTTCTTGGATCTATGTTCTCAGGGTTGGGGGCTGGGGGCTTTTTCTCATCGCTTCCTCTTCTCGTATTTTTTGTTTCTTCCATACAGGCATATAAAGAAGGCCCCAATCTCTTTTTTTGGTTGATTCTGGTTCTTCTGAAGTGCGCTGCCTAGGTGACCCTGCCTATTCCAGTGTGCAATTGAAGTGCAAATAGGGAGGGCATATGTTGGCCCCTTCCCTCTGGGTCAGCCCACCTGCCGAGGCCTTCACCATGCCTTAGTGTGCGCAGCATGTAGGGAAATGGTCTGGGACACCCTACTGGTTCCCAACCTGGAGGTGACCCAGGCCAGGCACATCTCACCAATCCCATTTGGGAAGGAAACAACTGACTGAAGTCTCTGCAGTACCTTGTTTCTGCCAGTCCTGCCGGCTTCCAAGATGTCCTTCCGTTTCCCATTGAAAGGTTTTATTCCTGACACTCACCGAGGGTCAATGCAGGTCCCCTACTGGCTCCACTCTCCCTTGGTTTCGCTGATCCCGACCTCAATGCCTCCGCACCCTAGCCGGATTGTGGCTCTGGCCAGTCGAAGCAGTGGAAACCCAGGCAGTTCGCTGAGTCACAGCCGCTCAAGTTTGAGCACACCAGCCAGTGTACTTCTCTGGTTCGCTGCTCCGTTTTGCCTTTACATCTCCTCACCAAGGTCTTCAGGCTTGCCCGCCACCAGCTTCTCTGTGCCCATGTATCTCCGGGTTCCAACAGTGAGAGCACCACCAGCTACCGCCTTCTTCTGTTCAAGTTTTTCTTTTTAAAAATTCTTCCTGTGGGCTTCAGTTCTCACTTTAGTTTCTTCTGGGTCAAGGGGAGCTATGTCTTTCCTGCTTTTCCTTCTCCAGAATGCTATATTCCAGCATCTGGGCTATTTCTCTCAGAGAGGTTTTTTAGTTTGCTGCTTACTGTTCCGCCATCTTCCCAGACCAGTATTTTTTTCTACTCCATCTTTTTCTGCTCCTTCTTCTTTCTCTATTGCTCTTTGGCCCTCCTCAGACTTCCTTTCCACTTTAGACCATTTCCCCCATATCCTCAGTTTTTTTTAGAAGCCTCCTGCCCACTTTCTTTCTGTACCAACAACTGAATACTGTCCTAACAAATCCTTAGGCTTTCCGAGCAAGTGGTCTCGAATGCTCTTGGCTCTGGTCACTGTCACTGTTGTCTTCTGTCATTCTCCCATGTGTGCTCTGAGAATCTTGACAGCTGGCTCATAGACTTGCCTCCATTCTTGCTAGAGGGGAAGGGGCCAGCTAATCATTTGGCAGCTGATTTCATTGTGTAGAGAGTGTTTACTTCCTGGATCCAGAGTCTTTCTCAGTCATAAGGTCACCAGCTCATCATCAGAAATCCACACTTAAGTGCCTCTGGGTTGTGTATTTGAGTCTTTGAAAATTTTTTCCCATGATCCACAAGCTGTAGTAAGCTTTTATTTTATTATATGTGGTCTTTTACTGTAAGATTTTCTGTTCTTTAATCAATTCTGCTTTGCTATTCTTTAACCTATCCTGTTTTGTCCAGATCTGACAGAAACGAAATGAGACTTAAATACCATGAAATGAGACTTAAATACCTATCCTGTTTTGTCCAGACATGATAGAAATGAAGTGAGACTTAAATACCATGATTTAAAAATGGGCAGAGGATCTGACTAAACATTTCTCAAAAGACATAGAAGTAGCTAACAGGTATAGGAAAATGTATTTGACATAATTCATAATATGCAGAATGAGATGCCACCTCACACCTGTTAGAATGACTGTTATCAAAAAGTAAAAGTACTGGTGAAGATGTAGAGGAAGGGAGCTTTTGTCTTTTGTTGGGACTATAAATGAGTTCAGCCATTATGGAAAACAATGCAGAGGTTCTCTCACCTCCCCCAAATCAAAAACAGAACTAGCAAATGATCCACTTGTCCCACTACTGGGTACATCCAAAGGAAATAAATCAATGTGACATCTGCACTCAACTGTTTACTGTAACAGTGTTCAATCTAGAGTCCATTAGTGGCTAATGGATAAAGAAAACAATGCAAATGTCCATTAGTGGGTAAATGAGTAAAGAAAATGTAAGTTTATACAATGAAATGCTCTCCAGTCTTAAAAAAATGAGGCACTCTCTTTTGCAACAATACAGATGAATCTGTAGAATATTATTCTAAGTTAAATAAGCCAGGCACACAAGACAAATGTGGTATAGTCTCATTTCTGTGTGGAATCTAACAAAGTTGAACTGCTAGAATAGAGAACAGAATGACAGGTGTTGTCAGAGGCTAGAGTGCGAACCAAAGGATGGAGTAGAGACTAGACAAAGGATATAACATTTCATTGAAGCAGGGTAGTAAGTTCAAGAGCTCTATTGTGAAATTACAGCTAATGATGTATGATATTTTGAAAAAAAATTAGATTTTAAGTGTTCTCATCACAGAAAAAGATAAGTATGTGGTATAATATGCATATTAATTGTTAATTAGCTAATTGAACCATTCCAGGATGTGTGCATAGCTCAGAACGTCATATTGTATATAGTAAGTATATACAGTTTTTGCTTGTCAATTTTAAAAATGGAATTTAATTTTAATTTACTATTTTGCAAGATCCTTCGTTCAACTTCTGTTTATTTTGATATTGTGATATATATATTGAAAAATGATTGTATTCTCCTCCTGGCTGATTTGTGATACTTTTTAAATTTTTATGGTATGGTATCTATTTCATTCATCTGTTTTTGGTGTTAGCATACTAAATGCTACTGAGGCTTTTAGTATATGTTTCAGTATTTAGTCGGGGTAGTGTTTTCTCACTGACTTAATTTTTATTTTTATTTCTTTATTTCTTATTTATTGGTACTGGGGATTGAACTCATGACCTTGTGCTTACCAAGTAGGCACTTACTTTGCTGAGCTAAATCCCCAGCCATTCATTGGCTTTATTTTCAAAATTTTTCGTGATGTTTTGGTTCTTTACACCTCTATGTAATTTTGAAAAACCTTTAATCAAGTTATAAAAAGAAAAATCTCCATTGGGTTTTTAAAAAATTTTTCCTAGGAGAGTATTAAACTGGGCTAATTGATGAGTTCAGTAAATTAATATTTATCAAAACTTACTTTTTAATAGTTTAAATTCTTTTTTACTGTGAATAACAATGATGTATCTTCTGTTAGAAAAAACAAAAATGTAAATGATCTGTTAAATTTGTTTTGTTTCAGATATGTTTTCTTCTTTTTGCCATTCTCTATGTTGTTTCCTACTTTATCATCAGAAGATACAAGAGAAAATCAGGCAAGTAGACACATTTTAGTTAAAACTTTTATTACAGTGCCTTATGACGTAGACACAGTATAGGGACTATGTCAGTGTCCTTTAGAGTGGCGGGTATTGAGTATGCTGGATTGAAATCAACAGGATGCCTGGTACTAAGCACACTAAAAATAACTTTCCAGATTATTTGACTTCTCATAGGGTCACCCTCTTACTGCAGTGTCCTTGTTTATCACAATTCTTATGTCCAACTAAGAATAGTGCTGGGCTACGTAGTATCTGGGAAATTCCAGAGCTTATAAAGATAGTCAGTTCCTTGTGACTGGCTCTGGCTTTTGCCCCCACACTCCCTTTTCTGACTACTAGACTATTTTTTTTTTTTTTTTTGGTCTTTTTTCGTTTTTATCGGTACCAGGGATCGAACTCACGACTGCCTGCTTACAAGGCAGGTGCTTATGCCGCTGAGCTAAATCCCCAGCCCCTAGACTATTTTTTCTTTCTTTATAGTAGTGTAGAATTTACAGTCTTCATAATGATCTTGATATTCATTATATACTATACTTTCATTATTTTGTGTTATCCTGACTTAGCTAGAAAGACCTTTTTTTCCCTTTCCCTCCTCCCTCTCCTCTTCCCTTTTCTTTCTTGTATTTTGTTTCTTTGTTTTTTTTTTTTTTTTACTTCTGTCTGTCTCTCTCTTTTTCTTTGATTTTTTGAGACTGTTTTTCTGTGTATTTGCTTGGCCTTGAGCTTACTGTGTAGCTCTGACTTGCCTTAGATTCACAGTGATACTCTTGCTTCAGTCTCCTGAGTTTATTCTTTTTGAAGAATGAATTTTGTACTGATTAATTAACAGATTTTTTAGGCCAGTGTTTAATAAGAATCAAAGTATTGTCTTTTACCATCTTTAATGCAAGCTATTTTTTAAGAAATCAGAAAATTTTTTACCTATGATACTGAGCTGGTAGTAGATGCTATATGATGCTTAAAGAGTCCATGTATTATGGATTTTTTTTTGCAATTATGCTATTACTTTTAACTACTATCAAACTTTTGAGACGAATGAGATACTTCTTGCTCTATTGGATCACTTTAATATTGTTATTTAGCTTTATGGGTACAGTACTATCTGAGTTTTGTAATTTCTCAAAATTTTGAACATATGCAGATCCAAACTATTTTAAAAGATATTTTAGTGTAATTTCATACACTAAAGGCACAGAAAGGGAGGCAGAGAGTGAATGAACAGAAATCCATTGTGTTAGGGATAAGTGGGGATGATGAACAGGAATATTGGAGATTTATAGGTTATTTTTATTTATTTATTTATTTTTTGTAATTTTTATTTTAAACAGAATAAAACCAAGCAAAATAAAACAGAATAAAGCCAATCAAAACAAAACAGTGTAATTGATACAGGACTTCAAAATAATAGGAAATAAAACAATGGTTACTATAATGCTTCTTGTTATCTTCAAAATAGCTGCCCAGACAAAACAGAATAAAACCCATCCAAACAAAACAATGAAAATGATATAGGACTTCAATATAATAGGGAATTAACAATGGCTACCACCTTCAGGAGAGCCCACATATATGCTACATTGGTTATTTTCTGAATAGATGATCAGACTACTGGCTTTATGCCTGCAGTCAGTGAAACACTAAACACTATGTCTTGGTTACTTTTGTCTGGTTGCTGGGACAAAACAGCATACACTCAAAAATGAAGGAAGGAAAGGTTTATTCAGCTCACTCTGCAGATTTTAGTCTATAATCAGTTGCCTCTAAAGCAGGGGAGTGTGGCACTGGGGCAACACTTTAACGCAGCAGCCAGAGCAAAAGAGGGAAACAAACCTCTTCTCCTCCCTTTTAGGGTACACAGGCCACCACCCCTGCTCCAGGGCAGGTGTAGCACTCACAAAATGTCTGTGTATCCTCTTGCCAGGATGAAGATATTTACAAAGTAAGGATCCTGGCTCCCTGCTGAGTCTATTAGTTAAACTTCTAAATTTCTCAAGTTGATACAGTGTATCAACCATAACATACTACAAGCCTTAAGTTATGTTTTACCTTAGTAGCTATCATTGCAGCCTGTGTTTCTCTGGATCAACTGGTCGCTAACAGGGGTAGGTTGCTAACAGGGGTAGGTTGCTAACAGGGGTAGGTCGCTAACAGGGGTAGGTCGCTAACAGGGGTAGGTCGCTAACAGGAGTAGGTCGCTAACAGGGCTAGGGTATGGGTGGAGGTAGAGATGGTGGGGTGGGCCTGGCTCCTCTTGTCTCCTAGCCTACAGGTCAGAGGGGGCTGGCATCTGATTCTCTCCCTAGCAGCCTGTGCATGGTGCCGACTCACAGGGAGGTCTTGGTTTCTTGTTTTTCTTCCCTGCAGTCCACAAATGCCACTGACTCATGGGAAGAGGCTGACATCTGGTTCTCTACCCAGTGGCCCATGCATGGGTACGCTATTTATTTATTTTTTTATGAGATGATTTTTATGGTAATCCAGGAGTGGTGAGAGTGAGGACCCTGGATCTACTTGGTAGAGTGTTGGTAGTAGCATTGAAGTTGATATGGAAATGTTAAAATAGTCTTTCAAATTTAACAGTTGATTGAGCTCTGGGCACAGCAGCATAAAAACTGTGTCCATGTTTTGTGGGCTTTGGTTGTAAGACTTATGGGAAGCCAGTAATTAGAGATGGGCTCTAGATTAGCAACATCATTGGCATTGTGGCAAGAGGATACCCCGAAGTCCATGACCTCAGGAGAGAACCTGTGCAGGAGGTGTGTGAGGGACAGGAAGTGCAGGAGGGGCCCAGTGTACTTTTCAGTATTGTAATTTTTCAAAGACTCTTTGGCTGGTGAGATTCTGTGGGAGGCAAAATAGATAGTGGCTAATAGGTCTGCAAGAGGAAGAAGGAAGAAGAATATCAGAGGAAGCTGTGTTTCCTAAGAGAGATACAGAACACTTGGTATTTTCCTGTCTGTGCCTTAAAAAATAGTTCTGAATTATTGAAGCAGTAGTATTTAAGGTAGTTTAGGATGTTCAAGAGAACCTCATTTTTACCTTTACTAACGACAAACTCAATTTAAAGAAAGCTACAGATTTTATAGGAAAAACTTGTTGGATATTAGCAGAAAATTTCATTCAGTAGCAATTTTCCCTTAGTATGTTTAACTGTATATTTTATATGGTACTAAGGTTCAACTGAGTTTTATTTTCTTGACTCAAAATTTGAACAAATTTAATTTATATTTGGTAATCAGGACTTTTAAAAAAAATCTTCATTCTCTAATCCTAGCCAGCCTTTTACATAACAGTATAAGGAAATGAGTCTCCAAGTAATCAAAGTCATAGTAATTGTTTTGGATTCAAAGAGAGTCACTGGAGTTGTCTCTCACACCATCCTACCAGATTTAATGATATTGAATTTGAGATCTTTGCTTAAGTAAACACAATGCTCTTTAAAAGTCTTTTCCATTAAACTAATTGCTTTTTAAAGTTTATATTTTGATACATTTTAAAATAAATTAGTGAAACATTTTACTGGAGGATAAAAGAATATTAATATTGTAAATATTTTTGCAGATGAACAAGAAGATGAAGATGCCATAGTCAACAGAATTTCGTATGTATCCTCAAATTCTTCTGTTTCTGTTTCAGAAGTCAGATTCTGAAAACTCAATTCTAAGTTTTGGACAGAAATATGAACAAGTTTCCAATGATTTTATCAATCTTAATCGTTTTTTTTTGGTACTGGAGATCGAATTCATGATCTTGTGCTTGCCAAGCAGGCGCTTATGCTGCTGAGCTAAGTCCCCAGTCCCTGTTAATCTTAAGGAGCACGTTATAAGCAAATAAGCATGTATAATTGAGGATTGTCTCCTTTTAAAATTTACATAGTTAAGGAGATGTTAGTTTTATTTCTGGAGGCATTAATAAAAAAAATGGACTTGTGCTTGGGAACATTGCTGGGTTTAAAGAGGAAAACTGTGCTGTTTGAGTTGTCAGCTGAGAAGGCTGTGCTGTAGTGAACAGGAGTAGAGGTAGATTAAAAAGAGCCTTATCCCATGAGCCACTGGAGAAGTCATGGATCTAATGCTCCATTTCCTCATGTGTAGCTCTTATAAGCAGTGCACTCCCCTATAACCTGCCAGGTGGCCATCAAAGTAATGAAGCTCATACTGACGCAGTACACGTTTACCAGTTGTCCCAGGAGTGCTTGTTGTGGCAGAAGGATTGTTTCAGAAACATGTGCTGTACTTAGTTGTCATGTCCCTTTAGTTTCCCTCAGGTGTGAATGCTCCCTCTGTACTTTTTAGACTTTGCTAACCATGACACTACCCAAGGGTACTGGTCAGTTGTTTAGTTTTTATCTGATGTTTCTTCCTGCTTACCTTCAGATGATGTCTCTTTTGCAGAGGGGAGAGGTGAGAAGCTGAGGAAAGGGGTAGAGAAACAAACAAACAAACAAGATCCCATGTGCTTACACACACACACACACATACAGACCCAGGATGGAGTAAGAGTTGGCCAGAAAGACAAGTGAGGTACTGATAAGAGAAATGAGGTACTGAAAAGTGCTGTAGGGGATGCTGATATATACGTTTACTTTTTTATTATGTTACTTTTTTGATTGCTGAGACAAAATAACCCAACACTCAAAAGTTAAGGGACAAAAGGTTTATTCGCCCCCAATTCGTAAAAGGTTCAGTCCAAAGCTGGCTGGCTGTGAGGCAGGGTGGCATAGCAGAGGGCATCACAGAAGACATACAGCAGCAGCAATAAATGATGAACTGTGACTACAGCTCTTCCTGTCCCTTCTATGATACCAGGGCTACTCAGCTGGGGTTAGGGTGTAGCACTCACTCCTTAACCCTGACATCACACTGTGAATCAATCCCAGTATCACATCTCTGATCCTAGCAGCTCAAGTGCTAATGCAGCCACTTCCAAAAAGCCCCATCATTGACTGCACGAGGCTGTAGGGGGACATCTGGCTACACACCATGACAGTGAAAGAGCTGTAGGAACACCAAAGGATGCAGGAACGGTCTCGTGACATAGGACTCCATCTGTAAGAAAGCTGCAGAATAGAGACATCAGTCACAGGCAGACTAGTGGCACTGTGCTGAGGGAGAAGGGATTTGAGGAATGGTTGCTTCATGATTTTTATTTGGTGGTGATAAAATGTTTGTGGAACTGGAAAGGATTAGCAATTTACAGTCTTGTGAAAGCACTAGACACCACGAATTGTTCACCTAAAGATAGTAAATGGTATGTGTTGTGAATTTCACCTCAGTGCGAAAATAAATAGCTGCAGACAATAAATGACTTGAATAAATTTGTCTTAATTCATCACTGAAATATGAATATAAACATCCTATCAATTAGATTTGATCATTTGTATTATTTTAAGTGCCCTTTGGAGGTTGGATAAGAAACAGAAACAGTTGCAAGTTCAGTCTGGCTATTCTTGTTCCATAGGTTTAAAATAGGCACAAACTTTGGTGTTTTAAATTAGGATTATTCAGGCTTGGTGGTGCATGCCTGTAATCCCAGCATTTGGGAGACTGAGGCAAATGAACCTGAACTGCAAGGGAGACCTTGCCACAAACAAACAAACAAACAAGCAAATAAACAAATGAGCAATGCTAGGATTAGGGCATTTTAGTTTTGTTTATAGCACTGTGACATTTGTGTACATTCTTTTTTTTTTTTTTTTTTTTTTTGTCTTTTTCGTTTTCATCGGTACCAGGGATCGAACTCACGATTGCCTGCTTTCAGTGCAGGTGCTTATGCCACTGAGCTAAATCCCCAGCCCCATGGACATGTAGGTGATCATGATTCCTCTATATAAATTGCTGCTCCAATAACAATAACAATGCATTGCTGTCATTTAGAGGGAAGCTTCCTGGAGAGGAGTCACTCTAGACAGAAAGTGCGGTGCCTCACCTAGGCGGGGCCTTTGGGTACTAGGGAGAGTCCCTGTGAGGTGTTGGCATCACAGTGGGCTGAGGATGGGGCCATGGTGAGGGGAGACCCGGCTTGGTGGGAAGGGTGGGGATCACCTGAGCGGGAGGCGTGTGTCTGTGTGAGGTTGAGGCAGTGTGGGAGGTGATTCATTAGCTGTGGGGTGGAGGGTGCATTCATTAAAGAGAATGGGCACCAGGTACCATCAGGGGAGAGAGAGGGAGCAAAGATACTGGGTTATGGGTTCAAAATGTGCATGTCAGCACACACCTGGAGAGTTACAGGGCTCGACATAGAAACAAGTGTGAGTATGTGTGCGTGTCACACAACAGAGCACACCTGTGCTGCTGGCTCTGGCCGGTGCTCTGCAGCACTTGCAGGGGAAGGTTTCTGGTGGCACCCAGAGCTTCCTGCCCAAACACAGCCTTCCACGGAATGGAACAGGCTTCTCAGAGGAGAGGCCAATTCAGGGCTGCAGAAGGGGAAGGCCCAGCCTCATTCATTGTGCCTGGTGGTACAGAACACACGTGAGTGCTTGAAGAATGATGGGGCTATGTTGAAGGGAAGCTGAATCCTAAGGACTCGCATGCCAAACTGGGGACACCTTGAACATCAGAATAAAGGAGAATTATAAGGAATTGCAACCCATTGGATATAGTAAAACAATATTGAGTCTATATTAATGAAATTGATAAATGGAAAGTTTGACAAAAAGAGGCTATTTTGCTCATTTTAAACTTCCCTTTTCACAGAATACTGATTTTTTTTTTTTTTTTTGAGACAGGGTCTCATTGTGCAGTTCAGCTGGCTTTGAACTTAGTCTGTAGCCCAGGCTGACCTCCAACTGGCAGTGATCCTCCTGCCTCAGCCTCCTGACTGCTGAAATTGCAGGCATGTGCCACTATGCCCAGCTTCACAGAATCATTAAAGGTGGCTTTAGAGTGGAAGTGTTGGCCAGGGGTCAGCAGGGCATGTAGTAACCCTGAGCCACCTGCAGGCCTGCTGGGAGGAGCTGAAGCAGTGTTTCTGTGGTGTGCCTGCCTGGTGGATATGTCTGTCTCCACATTTCCTAACTGAGGTCCTCATTTCCCCTTCGCTTTGCTCCACTGGGGCTCTCTGCCTATCAAAGACATCATTCTGTTTCTGGATCCGACATGAAGCCTTGGAGTTACCCTGTCTTTCTGTTTCTTCCTCCTTTTCCCTTTCCAGCTCCAGGCCAGGAGTCCTGTTTCTCTCCATGACTGCCACAGTGGCCCAAGCCCTCTGCACTGTCCTTTCTGAGGATTTAGATAGCCCCCAGATTGCACCCCTCCTCTGCTCAGAGCTCTGCAGGGGCCTCATGGCACTCAGAGAAGGCCACAGTGCTCATGGTTGCCCAAGGGATTGCTCGATCTTCCCCGTGACCATCTGGCCCTTTTTTGTGTCAAGTCTAACCAGCTGCGAGCTAAATGTGCTTTCAACCTGTTTGATCAGTGTGTCTTTTGTCAGCGGTCCCATTCTCTCATCTCGGTTTTGTTTTTGCTTTGTTTTTTTTCTAACTCTTAACTTTTTGGTGGGCCTTGGTCTGACTGCTATATTTCTTAATGAATCCGTGTGTCCTTCTTCCCATTTCCAGTCCTCATTAGCATGCTGTATTTTTCTGTAGCACTAACAGCCTTTATTATACACTCACACATTTAATATTTATTTTTGTCTAACTTTTCCTCTACTGTAGGCCCTGCAAGAGCAAGAACATTTGGTTGTATTGTTCATCATTCTTATCTGCCCCCAGCAGTCTTGGAACAGAGTCAAGGACTCCATGGACACCTGCTTGGTCAATGAGCACCACCAAAGACTCTCTGAGTCAGGGTCTCTGGTGTGCATACTTGCAGAAGTCCCAGAGGTGATTCTGATGTGCTAGTGGTTGCCCCACAGTGGTCTTGATGGGGTGCTGGGTACTCCGTGGGTGTTCTCATGATCTCACTGGTGAAGAAACACTGATTGATAGTGAGGGATTGGGAGGCTGACTTACACATACAGCATGTGTTCAGTGATTAGCTAGGAAACACCAACCTTTTACAGGTGAGTAGAGTCTCACAGCAAACTGTTAGGACAGAGGCAATTTTGCAGAAGTTGGGGAAAGAATTTCAAGGAGGAAACAGTGCTTGTAACCTTGAAATACTGTAGAAGGTGAGGTTCAGATTATGCCTGAAGAGTGTCTGATGGCTCTGATCACAAGGAGAGCCTTCTCATCACTATGGTGAGAGCAGAAATCCTATTGCAGTGGGTTAAAATAAGACATTGACATGGAAGTAAGATATGATGTGTGTCTTAGTTACTTTTTATTCATTGCTGAGACAAAAATACCTGAAGCCCAAAGTTGGGAAAGGAAAGGTTTATTTCTTACAGTTTTTGGAGGTTTCAGTCCATACTCAGTTGGCTCCGAGGCAGGTTGGCATGGCAGAGCCACAGTTCATGGTGGTTGCAAACAGCAAGGCGGAAACCAGCAAGAGAGAGCAAGACACGCCTTCTTCCTGCCATTACATCACATCCTGGCTCCACCCCTATGTGGCTGTAGCACTGACACTGTCAGTCCAAGCACTATACAGTGAACCAATCACAGATGCATAATGTAAATGCATGAGGCCTGGGGGCAAATGACATAAACCATGACATTCCACCCCTGGCCCCCAGGACTCACGTACATCTTTTATACAAAAGACATTTAGTCCACCTCCAAGAGTTGCCAAAGTCCTAACAGTTTCAACATTGCTGAAAAGTCCAAGTCCCAAGTTTCCTCCAAGATCTGTGGCAAACTCTTAACCCCCTGTATACATGAAACAAGCTTAAACATTTCTGAAGTGCAAAGGCACAAGATAAACATTACCATTCCAAAAGTTACAAACAGGGGAATATAAAGCATTGGAAACAAAGCAAGTCCAACATCCACCAGGATGAACATTAAGTTTTAGAGTTTTATGCTCAGCATCTGAAGCAATCTAGTTGTAAGCTCTATAAGGCTTGGAGGCACTGCCAGGGATGTCAGCTCCCGCAGCTTCTCTCTTAAATCCTCTCTGCTCACTTGCAGCTTTCCTTGGAAGATCAACGTTCCTGGCTTTTCCAAACTTCTGGGGTCTCCACTGCACCTTTGGCTTCACCCTTATATCTTTACAAACTGCCCTCTCAGGGGCACACTGCTTGACCTTCCAGGCCCTTTACAATCGAGGTGGAAACCATCTTACCCTCAGAATTTGTGCGTTCTCCTTGCACCTAAAATTAGCACCATGTGGATGCCACCAACATTTGTTGCCAGCTGTAGCAGTAGCCAGGCTTTTCTCTCTCTTGGCTGTAAGGGTCGATTGCCTGGATCGTTGGGCTCTGTGAACCTGATTGTGAAGAAAAGCTTCTCTGTGTTGCTGCCATTCTGGAACCTCATATGGCCTCTGTTGCCATTCTGGAACTCTGCAGCTTTCTCCTCTGAGCAAATTCTTTCACTTTTTTCAGTTTTGAGGCTGCAAAGGGTAGAGACCCACTTCCTGGAATGCCGAGGCCATATTTCTTATCTCTCTGTTTCTCCTCAGCAATCAAAGTCTCAACTCTGTCTTTACAATCCACAGCTTTCCTAGAATTTTCCTTCTGGCCAAATTCACAGTATTGTAAATTATCCTGTTGGGCTCTTAGCTCTTGATTTGCAACATAAATCTGGCTAAAAACCGGCAACAATAGCCATGCCACAGCCTCAACATTTGACTGCTTTGAAATTTACTTTTCCAGGTTAATCAGTCTATTCCCCTTAGTCTCAGTCTCAGGCAAAGTCCATACTCAGTTGGCTCCAAGGCAGGATGGCATGGCAGAGCTGCAGTTCATGGCAGCTGCAAACAGCAAGGGAGAAACCGGCAAGAGAGAGAGAAACACCTTCTTCCTGCCATTACATCACATCCTGGCTCCAAGCCTAGGCCAGTGTAGCACTGACACCATCAATCCAAATGCTAGGCAATGAACCAATCACAAATGCACAATGCAAATGCATGAGGCCTGGGGACCACAGACATAAACCATGAACTAAGAGAAATTAGTAGTATAACTATCTTAACTACTATCTGTCTATCTATCTATCTGTCTATATATTTGCTTTTCCCATCTCCCTTTCCTCCTTCCCCCATCCCAGTTTCTCTTTCCTTTTGAACAGTTTCTTCTCACTTTACAATATCTTTTGTACATTTTGGATCTTATTTACTCTTTCAATTTCTCATACTAGGGAGACAATACAATGTTTGCACATGAGGGTCTGGTTTATTTTACTTATGAGTATGGTCTCAAGTTGCCTCCATTTACCTATAAAAGCCTCCAGTTTTATCCTTTTTATGACTGAGTAGTATTTCACTGTATAAAAGACCACACGTTTTTTATTGAGTCCCCATTTGGGTTGTTTCCAAAATCTAGCTATTATAAATTGTGCTGCTATAAACATGGGTGCACATATATCTCTGTGGTACAGTGTTTTTAAATCTGGGAAAATGCCCAGAAGGGAAATAACTGGGTTGAATGGGACCTCTAATTCTAGATTTTTGAGGAATCTCCACACTGATTTCTACAGTGATTGTCCACACTCCTACTAACTGTGGAGAAGGGTTCCTTTTCCCCCCACAGCCTCTCCAGCATTTGTTATTGGTTGATTTCTTGATAGTAGCCATTCTTTTCAGGGTGACATCAAGTCTCACTGTTGTTTTAATTTGCATCTCTTTGGACCAGTGAAGTTGAACATTTTTTCATATATTTATTTGCTGTTTATATTTCTTATCTGAGAAACTTGTGCTCATCTCAGATGTCCATTTTTGAATTGGGTCTTTAAATTTGGGAGGCCTAATTTTTTTTGAGTTCTTTATATGTCTTTGATAATAATTCTTTGAGGAATAAAAAATTTTTTCCCCCATATTGTGGGTTTTCTCTTCACTCTTTGCAAAGATGCTGTGTAGAATGATCTGGAAATGATGGGTGTGTTTGCACCAGTTGCGTCCCACAGCTAAGGGCTGGCTCAAGTTAGCTCATGGAGATGAGAGGAGGGCCTACCTTGTGTGTTGGATTGGGGTGAGTCACAAGTGTCAGGTTTGGAAAGGCACTTTTGATTTTGTACCACCACAGTGACAGAAGTTACATTGCTCTGAAGGTATACTTTTTATAAGATACTGCTTCTCTTTAGAAGGTGATGTTTCTGCAGCTCCCTTTCCTCTTCTGAGAGGGCACTTTTCTGGCTGTACTGATAGCCTTTTAAACTTAGGGCCATGTGTTAAGCACCCTCTGCTAGTGTTAACTCTATTGTGTGAGCCTTTTCTGAATGGCTCTTCTCATAGCTACTGGGGGCAGCAGATACAACTTTCTGATCTTCACAATAACTAAAGAAGAACAGATTCTAGTAGGGTCTTTTTTTTGCTGAAAAAAGCAAGCATTATAGTTACGGTAACCATGTATTTATTGTTTTCTGGTCACTCGTGACTTTGGTCCATATGCTAACTCCTTTCATCCCAATTTTTGACTGGGAAACTGTTGGCCTTTGTTGCCAGGTGTGTGTGAAAGTGAAGAGGAACTGATTTACAGAGGGCAGCAAGAAAGTAAAAGCCGAGGAGTGCTTCACAGGGCAGAGGGCATTAGAGGTCTGCTGGAAATCTGTATGTGATTTTGCCTTGTGGCGTATATGGAGAGTGCTCTAGGGAGAGAGCAGCCTGTGCAGAGAGGTGTTTGACCTTGAAGTTGCATTTGATGTGTAGGACATGAAATAAGTGTGCACTGAAATTTGTCCCGGCCAGTGGAGACTGGAAAGGATACTAGGAGAGCAGTCCAGGACCTGGAGTGGTGGGAGTTTGCATTTGGTTCTGGCTTTGGCATTGGAAGCAATGATAGTGATCTGAACAGTGTCATTTGCTTGGAGAAGCTTGCTGAGACCACCGCCAGAGCTGGGCCTGCACCCGATGCAAGGGCCTGGCCACTAGCTTTTTCAGGACAGTGTCATCTACTCAGCAGGACTGATTCATAATGCTTCCTTGTTTTTGAACGCAGAAGGCTTCCCAGTCATTTTGACTTTTCTATAGGAATACACTTCTGTTCATTGCCACAAGATGGCGTGGGCCTCAAAGTTACTCCAGCAGTTTGGGATGGTTAGTACAATTTTTCCCCTCCTGCTCTTCCTTAGATTTTCTTACATTACTTTTACATTTTTCCAAAACCTAGTGGAATGTATATTAAGGTTTTACCTTTAAACTTAGTGAAATTTTCTTTGCCATTTTATTCTTTTATTGTTTTTTTAAAAATTAAAATGTATTATAACATTTTAAATATTTCAGAAAGGTATAACTGAGGAAGTGAAACCCCCTTATTGTCCCACTGTCCTGTGGTTTGGACTGTTACAAGATAATGCTGAATTTTTTTGTGCTCTTTTCTTAATTATATACATGTTTAAGGGAGTAGGGGGGGCATGTTTTATGTTTATTGCCCATGTTTTTTCTTCAGTTTGGTTTGTCTTATTTGAGATATTTTTTCATATTTGAACTACCTTATTTTAAAAGTGACAAAAGTAGCATTGTTAGTATTGTTTTAATATTACCATATTGTTAGCAGCTCCGTGCCATTTGCCACTGTTATTTAACCTTCACTCCTTTTAACTGCTAACTGGCCAATGGCTTCCCTTCAGCACCTCCCTATAGCCAAGTTATTTATTTAAAGGAAGAATTTTTTTTTTTTTTTTACTGGTACCAGGGATCGAACTCATGACCACGCACTTGCAAGGCAGGAGCTTATGCCGCTGAGCTAAATCCCTAGCCCCCATAAAGGAAGAATTTTTTAATCAACAATTTTATCTTTTTAAATATTTGAATGGTAAAATAATAAATGATTTTTTATATCTTCATTTTGATCATTTGTAGTTCTTTTAACATGTATTAATTGTACATATTAATGGTGTTCAGTGTGATAGTTCAATATATGTAAAGTATACATGGATCCAGTTGGGTAGTTGGCATTTTCCTTTCCTTGTCATGAAGTAACCATTTCAAATCTGTTGTCCCTACTGCTTTCACAAGTGTTTCTCTGTCTGAAGCAGTTGTTGCAATGTTGTCACCTACCTTGTTAAGTTGCCCACTCAGTGCAACTGTGGAATACACACTTAGGTGAGGAGTACACCACTGCTACAGCAATCTACAGATTGCATGGAGAGCCGTGCCTTCAGCATGCATGCTTTCAGCACATGTGTCTTCTAGTCTCTTTGTCAGAGTTAATGGCTTTGTCTTGGGGTAGGAGGGTGAGAGTATACACACTTAACTCCCTGATTACATCTGACCCTTGTCTCCCATCAGCGTATATTTAATGACATTCTAATATGCTTTTTTAATTAAAAATTGGAAGAGTTCATGCTCTTTGCTCTTTTCATGTCTACTGCTTTTCTGGGTGCAATGATCATGGCTTTTCTCTCTTCCAGGTTGTTTCTGAGCACCTTCACTCTCGCCGTGTCAGCTGGGGCTGTGTTGCTTTTACCCTTCTCAATAATCAGCAATGAAATCCTGCTGTCTTTTCCTCAGAACTACTATATTCAGTGGCTGAATGGCTCCCTGATTCATGGTTAGTATATGTTGCTTAATGCTATGATTCATATTTTAACTTTTTTACTGCACTATATTTTTTTATTTTTTCTGTTTTTAGTTTCTGCTTTTCTCTTGTTGCTAGGACAGAATACTGATGCCCAAAAATTATGGAAGTGAAGGTTTATTTAGCTCACAGTTTGTGGAGGTTTCAGTCCATAATCAGCTGGCTCCAAGGCAGGGTGGCATAGCACTGGGTAACACTTCAGGGTAGCAGAAGACAGCAAAAGCAGAAAGAGCAAAAAGAAAGGAAGGGCAAGCCTCTTTTTGTCCCTTATATTGTAAACAGGCTATGCCCCTTGGGTGAGAGTAGCACTCATACCATCTTCTTGCCCCTCTTATGCACAGGCTGAGGTTGTTAACAAAGTAAGGACATTGGCCCTCTGCTGAGTCAGTTAAACTTTTGACCTTTTCAAATTGACACAATGAATAATATCCTAGAGAGGTAACTAACTGTCCTTTATACCTAGGATGAAGAGCTGCTGAGTTACTTAGTTAAGCTTTTAGACTCCTCAAGTTCACACAGTGTATCAACCATAACCCTTTCCTTCATAGTTTGCAACTCCCTCCAGTAAACTTTGGGGACCCTTAGTAGAGTGAGAAAATTGGATTTGACTATTCCTGTTGTTAGTTATGAAAAACTTTTCTCTTTCACTTCATCAAGAAGTAGTTTTTAGATTTACTATAGTATTAACAATACATTTTCATACAAATACTTAGAGAATTCTGTTTATGTCAGAAAACCGCATTCTTCATTGAAGACCTGGAAAACCAGAGGCCATAGTTCCTATTATGTTTTCTATTAGATTCCTTCATCTCTTAAAATATGTAATAAAAGAGAAAAACATCACTTCATCAAGTACAGACATTAAGATTTAAGAAAAATAACAGCTGACTTTGTGTGGATGAGATTTGTTGCTTTGAAGCCAAGTAGACCTGGACTCCAGCTTTGGCTCAGCCATTCTGTGACAGACTGGGAAGTCATCTGTTACTGTCTGTATCAGTTAGGGTCATCTACTAAAGGAACAGACTTAATATAATATGTATAAAAGGTTTCCTATATAGGCTTACAGTGACCACCTGCAGAGTCAGGTAACGAAGAATGCAGGAAGACTGTCTGCATTCTGAAGGCCCTGGATCCCATGAGAAGTGTAAGGCCTGAAGCTCACTGCAGAGTCCCATGCAAGTTCCTGTGAGGAACTGGAGGGTCTGCACTGCAGGCCTGGGAGCAGATGTCCAAAGACGATAGTGCAGACCGGAGCTCCTCTGAAGAAGCAGAAGTGAGACTTCCCGCTTTCCCTTTCATTCCATGCAGGCTGCAAACTTTTTTATTGATTGGTACACCCACACCTAGGTTGATCTTCTGTTTTCAGTATGTCTGTCATCTAGATACTGTGCTAAACCAATCAGCAGGGTGTTTTTCACTCAAGTTGACTATAATTAACTATCACACTGTCTGACTTCAGTTTCTGTTCTCTTAGGATCAGTAAAACTCACTTTGCTGGTTTGTTTCTAGGAATAATCTAATATAAATATCTCTTAATAGGTATTTAGTAAGTGGTAGCTAGTATCATATTTATCTAGACTGGGATGGTTTTTTTGTTCTGAAAAATTTTACTATTTTTTATGTATTAATTTAGTTTGTATATACTGAACCCTTCTTATTTAGAACATACTGGCATAATTTTTTTTATAACTATCTGTTAGCATTGATTATAGCTTTCAGGATTTTTATATCTTCCTTGTTCATCTTTCCCATACTGTCTCCATTTTTTTAGTGTTGATTTTTTGTTAGTTACTATACATATTAGTTACTATACATGTCATTTTATTAGTGTCATTAGTTATTGGTGTTATTAGTGTTAATCATTAATTTTATTACAGATGCATAATTTGACAGGTGAATTAGGTACTATTTTATTTATTAATATTATTATTATTATTATGATTATTATTTTGGTTCCAGGGATTGAACTCATGAGTGTGCGCTTGCAAGGCAGGCGCTTATGCCACTGAGCTAAATCCCCAGCCCTAGATTCTTTTTTAAAAAACATTAAAGACAGGTGACAATATCAGGGGATTTCATTTCTGCATATTTTCATATGGATCCAACTCTTTTTTCTCCATATTGATGAAGAAACATTTTGTTATGAATCAAGACAATCTTGAAAAATAGTTCTAGTATTTGATATGTATATATTTTAATTCTTTTATGCCATTTTATTTATTTATTTATTTATTTATTTTTTGTCTTTTTCGTTTTTGTCGGTACCAGGGATTGAACCCACGACTGCCTGCTTCCAAGGCAGGCGCTTATGCCGCTGAGCTAAATCCCCAGCCCCTTTTATGCCATTTTAAAAGGAAAGTTTGTGCTAATTTTTTCTTCTTTGAGTTAAAGAAAATGTCCTCCTTTAATAATACTTAGCTAACTTCCCATTTGACTTAAAAAAATATATCAATAGTATCTTATTTCTGCTCAGTTTGCAGTGGAGGTCATTGTATTTGGAATTCCAGCATTGACATAAAGAAGTGGAGGAGCCTGCCTGTGTGGTTTGGCCAGGTTGTGAAAATCTTTACTGCCAAGATACTGATGTATCTTGTCTTTAGATGATGCATGTTCTCGATATAATAATCCAAAAGAACAGGGTAAAATTTCAGGGATTGCAGTTGTGGGTGAGGCAAGAATGAATTTCATGTCTTCTGTTTGAGAAGTGCAGAATGTATTTTCGTGGGTGACACGCCTTACGCTCTTCCCTCTGTTGCTGGGACTGTGGTCCTGCAGGTTAAGCACAACAGCAGCAGCACCAGCCATTCCACTGTTTCTGTCCTGATTGTGGAAGTAATATGTGCTCATTATGGGGAATGTAGAATATGCTAAAATGTACAAAGTCTACTCTTCAGTGTACATTGTGAGTGTTACATAGCACATACAGTTTACATAGTGAATGTTTTCCATGCTGGTCAATGTTCTTTGAAAACATTTCAGTGGCTGTAACATGAGCCTGGCGCATATATATATCAACCTAGGGACCTTCAGAGGCTATCTGATTGATCTGAGGAGTGGGACTGTTTAGTCTTCCAGTGACTTAGTAATGAATTTTTTTTCAGATCTGAAGTAGACAGTGGCTGAGTTGTACCTGGATACTGAGTGGCTTCCTTGTCTTTGTGGAACACTTTACTTAACTATCCTTCTGTTTTGAATACCTAGAGGGCTTTCCACTTACAATTATGACTTGGGTTCTGGTAATTTCCTTAGATGGTAATTAGGATGAAAATTATCAGGCTAATGAATATTTGTGCCAAAATATTTGCTAGAACTACCAGTTTATATTCTAACCGAAGATAAAGGTGCCTTTTGACTTTATCACAAACTCAAGAACATTCAGTATTAATATCTTTAAAATCTTTGTGAACTGTATGGATGAAAAGTAGTTTCTCATCATTTTAATTTTTAGAAATTTTTAGTGTGTGATTGGACATTTTAATTTTGTTTTGAAAAAGATATAAAAGACCTATTACATATATGTATAAATGTGTATTACATATATCTACACACATATAGGTATATTACATATATCTATATATATGTCCATTATCTCTTACATGTATAATCAGCTTTCCCTCCAACTTCTGTAAATGCTTTTCTAGTTGTTATTTTGCATTTTAATTTTATTTACTCTTTTTATTTCTTCAGAAGTTTTATATTTTTATGTTGTTTGGTCTTTTCTTTGTTTGGTTTGCCTAATTGTCTTTGTGTTTAGAAGATCCTTTCATAACTGAGACATGATAGAAACTCACTTTTTTCTCTTCTTTGTAATGGTTTTATTTACTCTTTTTTTTTTTTTTTCTTTTTTTACGGTACTGGGGATCGAACTCACGACCGCCTGCTTGCAAGGCAGGTGCTTATGCTGCTGAGCTAAATCCCCAGCCCCATTTTATTTACTCTTAACTGTTTAATACATCCGAAGTTTATATGTGTAACTAACTTTTCTTTCATCCCTTTCCCAAAGTTAGATTATCGTCCTAGTACTTTCAGTTGAATATTTCTTCTTTTTTCTACTGTTCTTTATGCTGTATTTTTTAGTTAGTAAATTATTACATTAGAGTTTGTTTCAAGTGAATAGTTTTTAGTGTCAGATCTGGGTTTGAAATTCAGCACAATATTTTATTAGCAGCAACTTTCAGCAGTTTTTTTCTGTCAGTCTTTTATGTATGCATATAATAAAGCCTAGTTGTCAGGATTTTTATATGGAGTGAATACAATGTATATGTAGTGTCCAGTTCCTGTCTAGTCTAATGCCTGGTCTAGAGGAAGCAAGAAACAAATACTGGGTCTCACTTCCTGTCCCTTACCATTGGTTTGTCTGTCTGTAGCTATGCCCATGGCAATATTGGTTTAAACACTGTAGTTCTGTAGTATGTTTTAGGTGTTAAGTTTTAAGAAGTTAACCCCTTATTTGAAAGTTTTCATTAAGTAATACATATATTCTAATACATTCTATCTCTGTTGTATGCAATCTGGAGACATGATGATGCTAAGGAAATTTGTTCTTGTTTCTTATAAATACAGCCCTAACATACATACACATACATGTGCATGTGTATGTATTTGTCAGTGTTTAAAGAAAGACATGTTTGAGTTGGAAATTTGGAAACCCCGAATCGTAGTTGGCAGGTTGATCTCAGCAGTGGCTATATCCTGGTTGGCTCCATTGTGTGGAAGTCCATGTTAGTGAGCCCATGTTTACCCTCCATTTCTGCCACCATGGCTACTTTGTTCATCAGCCCACTAGATGATGATGGGCTAACTGGGGAAGGAAGTTACTGGTGTCTATAGTCCTCTTGTCATTTTGGGTCATCCTGTCTTCTTGGCTATTAAGATCCTCCTCTGTGAAGGGAAGTATCCCTTGGTGAGCATTTACATGGAACACAAGTATCTTCACTTTTTCTTTTGCCCTTTCAGAGAAGTGTATCCACATC